GAGCCAATCAACAATTTTAAGCATACATTTTTCGTTCTCAGTGACCCAGAATTAGTAAAGTTTGACTACATTTATTTCAGAAGCATTTTGGCTGTAGAGCAGTGTAACCAGTCTGGAGTGATGGTGGGAGAATTTCTGAGAATCCTCAAAGTAAATAAGATCCACTAGTGGAAACACTGTAGTTCAACCTTGCAGGGGATGGGACAGGATTTTGGGGAGCCTGTATGAGAAATGAGCACCTCTTGGAACAGTGGGTATTTGGATAAGGTGCTGGTGGATCTAGTTAACAGTGCATCACTTCCACTCACACACTATAGCAAATGATGTGGAGGAGGCTATTTTGTGGCTGTACAAACATCCACATGGTATTTCTGCTGCTGTACGGTGGCCTTGGGAATATGAAGGAAAAGAATGACTGTCAGCCCTAGAGAAACTCCCAATATTGGACCTGGCTACTCTGGCTGAGTGCAGAGCTAGGATTTGAACTGAAGTCAGTTTACACCTCTAATCGTTTTGGATAGATTCAGTAAGACAACATAGCACTGGTTCAGATATGGAGGGGTATCTTTGCAGCTATAAAGGCTAGAAACTTTTTTTTTTTTAAAGGCTTAAATTATGGAGAAAACTGATAAGCTGCCCAGGTCACCAGGGAGAGTTTCCTGCTCACCACTGGCAAGTGGGTTATTTTTCAAGCCCTGGCAGTTTTTGCTAGCACACTTTCAGCTGAAGTGTAGTCAGTATCAAACACAGAAATTACGACTTGAAGTAAAATGAGCCCTGATGTATTCAGCTTCCTTTTCTTCAGGCTATTTTATTAATATTTTTGCCTTGGAAAATGTTTGTAAATTGTATCTTCTATCACTGTTTTATTACTATCATTTTTAAGTGAATGTGTAACTGTTTTTGTCCTTAGAAAAATAAGATGGGGGTATTTTAGTGTAAAATACAACAGTCATTGAGTTATTTTAATTGTAACAATATATGTTAAATTGTATTGAACCATAGCGAGAAGAAATATTGTGAAAGTGTAGAATACCAGTATGGCAAAAAGTATGTATTGCACATGCAAAAATGCAAATGAGTCATTACCGATGTAAATAGGTTAACATAATCCAAAAATAATTGGAAACAAATAATTTATGTAAAATTCCACTGACAAGTACTTGTATTAATATAACTTCAGTGAAAATGAAACCATATTTGTTATTTAGGTTTCTGAAGGTCACAAAAAAAGCACCTTAATGATCATTGTCACATTATTTTTCAGGCTGGCCAACAAGAAGAATATCAAGCGTTTACATAATGGTGCTGAGACATTTTTGATCCCTTCTGGTTTTGCTGTGAGGATGTTATTTATTATGGAGAACTTATTGTAAGTTGTAGTATAAAATTCCATGTTAATTGTCAAGCAACAAATTAAAATTCATTAACTGAAACTTCATTGTGGTATGTTAACATTAATAAAGAGTGTGGAGTGTACTATTTCATTATGGAAGTCCATAATGAAAACTGCATCAGGGTCAGACATGGCTCTTTAATGGGAAAGAGAAACAGCAAACTACACCAATACTAGCAGAATAATTTCTGATCAGCTTGAGAATGATGGCTTACTTTCTATAACCTTTGAACATTTTATTCACACACAAATATGTGGTGACAATGTTCAAATGACATTCTAGAAGCGGTGATACCATCTGATGTTCATGTTTTCTTTCCTGTAATTTTCCCCCCAAAAGTCCTCTTCTTATGGAGCAGGTTCAATACATGCCTGGATTTTCTGCAGAGACGCTATGCACTGAATGATGAGTTTTGATAGCTAGTGATGACATGCATGTGCAAATACTTACTTTGATAAATTTCAGTGTGTTAATTATTTTGATCACTCATGTATTAGTTTTCATTTTATTAAAACCAAAATAGTGCTTTTTGAATCTTTGATTATATGTTTCAGTTACAAAGGCCATATCAGCATTGAACATCACAATAATTATTAAAGCTCAATAGAGTAGTATTGATTCTGTATATAATTGAGAGTTTGTGTGTAGTTACTAAATATGAATAATCCTGGAAAGTTTTCATCTAGCAATAGTGAACTAGGTATGTGTGTATGTTCAATATGTGCCTATAAAATGGCTTGGATAAAACTGTGAGCCTAATTGGCCAAAGAGAATGAAGTCCTATAGTCTTCCATCTAACACACTCATGGGGATTTAGGTGTTGATCCTGTATCCTTCAAGTCAATCAGAGCTTTTCCATTGACTTGAATGAGACCAGGATCAAGCCCTTAGAGACAAACTCTTCCAACTAGACCATTACACAAAATATGCTATTTTTAAAAGGCACATTAGTTCAGCTGTTGTTACAAAGCAAATGGTACCCCTTTTTCTTTAACTCTTCTTTTGCTGGCTTTGAAGTACGGTAACACTGAGGAAATTGTGTCTTATTGAATAATATAAAATAACTATTGTCAAACGTTACATGGGCCACCAGCTTGTTGAAATAAAACAGAAGGGGTGGTATTTGTTGGAAACTTTCTATTGAGAAGGAATGTTTTAGCACTTTGTATTATATCTTTCTCTCTGTTTGTTCAAAATTTTGTCCCTGGCTGCCTGATGTTCAGTAATGCAAGCCTAGTTGCTGACTTAGTCTGGCCTAGAAAAAATGGCATCTTTACTGGTGGCAGTCACTTCAATGATGAAAGAGCTTAAAGAAAGGTTTAGTCTTCAACTTTGTAAATGGCATCATAGACAAAGGATTCAATGCTCAGTGTGGTCCATCACACCCTGAAGCAAAACATACAAGGTCACCCTAGTGCACATAACTATAAAGAGAATTTTGTCAGGGAACTCTGTCCCCATGTGGTGGCTGAGCACTGAACTACCATCCGCTCTTTCCAGACCTTATGCATTATAAATACATAATTTAAATATTTATACTGTTAAACTTATTATGGAAATAGACTGAAAATCAGTGTCAAGTTAAGCAAAATAATGGCCGTTTGGCTGATGGATAATATCTGAATATAGTATGGTCCATACACTTTACCTCACCTTACTGGTCAATTTTTCTTAAATTTCTATTGTAGAATATGCACTTGGAGTTGAAGGAAAGAGTAGATATTGCTTCATATTTTCTTCTGGACTGTTACAATATACTGTGATTATCTCTAGAAGTTGATACATAGTTGAATACTTTTAAGTAGCAGGTTTTGGAGGGTAGAATACTGGACAGTGGTTTGGCCCAATGCATCAAGTAGAACAGTAAACTAGAGTACATGTTTAAGTACGAGGAAAAAAAAATCTTATCTGGCTGTAAAAGTTAGTTCTGCTGTTGTGCTACCAGTATATTAAGTAGAAAAGATTCATGGTCAAATGGCCATTTGAGCCAATATGTAACTAGCCTTCCAGGAACATTAAATGTAGATATATGACTACAGAGAACTTGTGAAAGGGTGGAAGTTTCATCCATTTCTTAGGTATTAGTTTACAGTTGAAGTACCTAAGAAATGGATAAAACTTCCACCCTTTCACAGGATAGATCATCAGAATTTTTTCTAAACTAAACACATTTGAAGTGTTCCATTTCATATGAACAGTTATTTAGCTACAGGGCATAGCCACCACCAGTATGATTTTAAACAGGAAAAAAATGGTTTGCTATAGAGTGTTGGTTTTTTGAATGCAGCATTACTGTTGCAGTTGCTTTTTGTGTAGCCATAGGTCTTCTATTTGCTTTACTGGAATTCAGAAAGAGCTACTGAATCTTTTAAATGTAAGTGTTCTAGCTGTATTTAAACTGGGATACATTTGGAAACCTCCTTATAAATGCAGGTACACTTACCGCTCATTTACATGGGAATTTGGGTACAAAAATACAGAATTTCATAACTACTAAATTTGGTAGTTGTGTTCTTTCTCCTGTTTGCTTTGGCAAATAATTTTTTTCTTGTTTAAACCATAAAATCCGTTGATATGAAATGGAATACTTCAAATATGCTTAGTTTAGAAATAATTCTGATAATCTGTCCTGTATTTTATGAGATTTTCTTTTTTGGTTAATTATTGTAAAATTTCATGAGAACAGTTTTCTTTTTAATAGCTCTTGCCCTTTATTTAAAGTGTGGAAATGATCAGCCCTGTAACATCACAACTGATGTCTGTATAGAATGGGAGTAGTTTTCTTTTATTTTCCCAACTTTAAAATAAACATGTTTGGATGTCTACATTGTAGTTCTTGTGAGGAATAAGCAGTGGGAGCAGATATACCTTGGAGAAATGCAGGCGTATTCCTTTATACAGTAAAGAATAAAGAAAATAGGGTAGTTAATCAAAACGGTTTTTTATATAGAATGAACATCCATTTTTTGTGAGACATTAACAATTCTGTTTCTATTATAAATGCCTATATTCAGGATTTATCATGCAGTCATAAATCAACAAGGGAAAACTAGTCACGCACATTACTTAGGATATATAATAGAGATATAGAAGTCTTTGGTTCTAGTTTCAGCTCTTCCATAGACTTGCTGGGTGATTTTTGTGGAAGTCAGTTTTCTTTCTGTGCCTCCATTTCTTCATCGATGCAATGGGAAGAATACCTACTATAGAGGAATTGTGAGGTTCAAGTGTGTTTTGAACCTTAGAAGAAAGGCACATTAGTACAAAGTATTCAGTAAATAAGACTGAGCTCTAACCATGATTATTGTAGAAGTGGAAGCCAAGATTTTCCAAAGGTTACTAGTGATTTTCTTCGCTTTGATTTTTTTGTGTACCCAGCTCAAGATACCTTAAAAGAGCCCCTTTAAAGTGTGTCAAGTTGAGCACAGAAAATCGCTAGTCACTTTTGAAAATCTTGGTCAATTATTTTCATGTTCTAAATGTATGCTTGATAGGCCCTTCAGGATTTTTGTTATGAATGGCTGGATATAACAACACTTTAAAACAAATTTCCTTGCAAAGTTCGTCCATGGACTGCATGGAGGAGAACTGGTGGTTAGAGACAGCACTGCAGCTGTGCAATAAACCAGTTTACTTAATCACAGTGAGCTCTTAAATTCTAAAAAGCTTTTTTTGCATTCAGGAATTAAGTAAAAGTTAATGTTAAGCAGGGAATAGAGAGGAGGAAAAGGCTGTTTTTTTTAAAGGGGCTGGGCAGGGGGTGATTGGTGTTGGGAACAGTGGCGAGTTGGCATAGTAGGAAGTTTTGGACGGGGGGGCTATGATTGATGGCATGAGAGGAGAAGCAGTTGTGTGTGAGGGTCAAGGAAGGAGAGGACTGTATGGGGGATCATTCTGTGAGGGCAGTGGGGTTTCAGTTTGGTGGGGTGGGAGATGAAGTAGAAGAGGAACTGCAATCTGAATATTTTTGTGGCTTGTCCTAAGCCACAGCTACTTTCTAATTCTACTTCCTCTCCCTGTTCCAGAAACTGCTCTCCCATCCCCTCCATTCCTTAACAGAACTCCAGTTCTCCCTCACCACCATGATACCCAGAGTCTATGGTGAGTGGACATATGGGTGGAATTCACCTGGGGTGTTGAGAAATAGACTAGGCAACTTCTAGGAGTGAAAGTAGCTGGTGGATCTAAGCAGTTCTCATTTCATTTATTTTCAAATGTAATTTACTTTATATTGAATAAGAGTAATAACTTGGATGTAAAATTTAAAAACTGCTCTACATGTGATATGTCATCAAAATGTTTGCGAAAGAATTTTGGAGTTTGTGGTGATGCTGGTTCTTTAGTAACAAGGCTCAAATATTTATATTGAAATGCTTTCTCTACCAATGTTACTAAATCTTTGACCAAAAAGTATTATGGAAAATTCACTTGTCCTCTGAAGTTGTTGTATTTTATATATGGAACTAAATCAGTTATTAATATGTGAAATGCAGCTGTTTTAGTATTGCTTTATGTGCAATAGTCAATGAAACAATAGACTTGTTTATTTGTGTATAAACACACTCCAATTTCTTTTATTTTGGAAAGCTGGAATGGTTTTACAAAGAATAGGATGCAGTATGTGCACTCATCTTGCTTTACTATATTCTTTTCTCTTTGTCCTTTTCACCACTACTGTAACAAAGTTTAAAAAAAGACATAACTTGTCAGCATAGGAGTAGTTTTCTTTTATTTTCCCAACTTAAAATAAACATGTTTGGCTGTCTGCATTGTGCAGGTATAAAAAAATACTGAATTTAAATACTTTTTTGCATGTGCACAACAAACTGTCTGCACAAGTATATGTAACAAGTGTTTTATGAATTTTCAGATATACTGCAAGGGCCTTAATTTCCCAGGCATTTAGGGAGAGCATGGGCTGTGCTGGTTGGGGTTGAATACAATGTCTGCTGTTGAGACATCTTATTTTGTTTTTAAGTATATTTGGTGCATTGATTATTCCACATTTATATCACTGTGAAAACTGTGTAGGAGCTCACAGAGCATGGGGTTGCATACCTTGTTATACTATCTCCATATTTATATGGATATGGAAATATTAATGATATAGTGAAGGTTGATTTCTCCTTGCATTATTTTATCACATTCTAACCACAATAAGTGGAAACTTGCATGCAGGATCCTCTGCCAGGACAAAACTCTTTCTAGGTAGTTTAAGGAGAAACTGGCCAAGGCATTTTTGAAACATGGGTGTTCTGACTACGTGAAATTTCTTTACTTTGCCCCTTTGCAGCTCAAAGTCATTAGAATATCAGAGAGAATTTCAAAAAGGGAGAAGCACTTATGACTAATTTTTGGGTGGCTGGAGGCTCTAACTCTTTTGGGGCTAGATTGTAGATTGCCCCTTATGCAGCTGTGCAGTGTGGTTGGAAGCATAAGTTACTTCTTCCCCCTTGCACTTCCTGCATGGGTAGGATAGAGTTGCAGCTCCCATGCATGTGGGTGTGCAGGTGCTATTGCTAAGTGACTTCTGCCTAGGGCAAGCTCCCCCTCAAAAAAGGGGGAGGAGTAGGGAAGATCATGGCTTTGCCCCCATCCATGCCTGCTAGCTTTGCTGTCCAGCCTTAATGGGAGAGGGGAGGGAGGGAAAGATAAGAGTGTGACACACCGCTTAGTGGGGTGTCATAGATTTCACTCCCTCTAATACACCCACAGAGGTCTCGGAGAACGCTTTACAATGCTGTGCCAACACAAGGCTATGGCTTAATGCCACAGGTGAGCCTTTATTTAAAGGGTGAGGGAGTCCAGCTTGATTTTGGTGGAGTTCTTATCTGGCACATATAATGCAAGCATTATACATTAATAAATGTACATGGATCTGATGCAAGCTACAAAATATGTGCGTAGATCCGATGTATGTATTGTCTGTGCTGGGTGCATGCATGTATTCTAAAAATGTGTGTAACGCTGCATGTAACTTTATGCCTGAACATCAGACAGCTGCAATGCTAATAGTAGGAACTATAAATCCACAAAAATAAGCTTTGATAATGTAAGCAGAATCTATCACACCAAATGGTCCTTAATTAACCCACTAAAATATTAATATATCCACAGATTATGCTGGAAGAGCTAAAAATCCTGCCTATTGAAATCCATATGAATGCCTTATCCATGGGCATAACCAATTCCAAATGAAAAAGTTGGATCATTATCTTGCCACATCCTGAACCTTTTGATATTGTATTGACACTTTAATAGTTTATGACAACTGTGGAAGTATTCAGCTTTAATCTTGTACATGAGTAGCTTGGCTAATTACTTGTTGCTTGTGAACTATGAAGTATTGCTTAGTTCAAGATAGCTGCAGTAGCAGCAACATGTAAGCTTTTCAGAACAGGGACTTCTCTTCAGATATGTGTAGAAAGCACTTAGTACATAGTGGGTGGTGCTGTAATCCGTATAACTAATCTTTCAGGCTATTTATACAGTAGTCTGTAGTTGAAAATACACTGGATTTAAGATGTCCACAGGAAATTCTGTGTGCTCTTCTTACAAGACTGAAAATAAGTACAACTGACCTATCAAAGCATTCAGCGTATTAGATGGTGACAATCTGGTGTATCACAGATGCTATATGTGAGGCTCATGTACTTCTATTTAAGATACATCTACAAAAACCACAAGCTTGAGTCTTAATAAAAATTCCAGGGAGAGTCTTAAAACAGTTTAGATTTAAGATATCCAGAGTTGGCAAACTTCTTAAAATCCTTAGTTACACTTTCAAGATTGACTAGGACCAATCCCCTGAGGTATAAGACTCTCAGGATTTGTCAAACTGAGATACATATATCAAACTTGCATGTGCCACAAATGGCAGGGGCCTAGAGTGCTGGTCATAGGGGATAGAGCAAAGGTGGTTTGGATGACTCCAGCTGTGCATTTCCAGATTTTCAAACTTCTTATAATTGAACCTTAACTTGTTGCTTCTTGACATTACACATTTTTTTTAGTTCAATAGTGCTCTCCAAATTGTTTTCCTCTTAATTTTGTTACTTTTCTTTTTAAACCATAACTCCAGTTTAGGATTTTTTTATCTTGTCATTTGATATAGTTCCTTGGGTTTTTCGGTTCTGTGGAAATAGACATTCAGAAAATTCCAGGGTACGCTCTTCTGATCTTAAATATTATTGCATATGTGCACAATATTTCTATAAGCTTCTACTACATGTAGCATATGCTCTGTAATTATGCAAGCTATTGTCTTAAGGTAAGATTTTAAATTATGACTATTTAATATTGTCTAGATAATGCTTTTTTTGTAATAAAAAAACCCCTTTGTTATTCCAGTCTAAGATAGTTAACGCCAAACACTTCAGTCATTTACAAAAACAATTGGAAGGAGCGGTAGCTTAGGCACAGGGGTTCTCAAACTCCATTGCACCAGGACCCCCTTCTGATAACCAACATTACTACATGACCCCAGGAGCGGGGACCAAAGCTTGAGCCCACTTGAGTCCGCCGCCATGGGCGGCCAACGCTCAAGAGCTTCGGCTTTAGCTCTGGGCAGTGGGGCTCAGGCTTTGGCTTTGGTCCCGGCAAGTCTAACGCCAGCCCTGGCGACCCCATTAAAACAGGGTCACGGCCTACGGTTTGAGAACCGCTGCTTTAGACAAATACATGGGCTAACTTTCAGTGACCAATTAAAAACAGTAGTAGAAACTTAGTACTATTAAGGATCCGATTTTAAAATGATAAACTTCAGGAAATAAAAAGAATAATGCTGCCTTTTTCTGAGCATTATGAGTAACAGATGAAATGCTGACAGCTTGTATTAACCAGGTTGCATAGGGCATTCAGCAAAGAAATATCTTAGCTAATTTTTTTGTAATTCCTTTATTTCTGCCTCTTGAAATCCTTTGGCAATTACTAATTTATTAAAGACACTTTAGATCGTTCTGCATCATGAATTGCACAGGATCTCTGGTATCAATTAAGTTAATGAACTGTTTATTTTAGTGTCTTGATTAAATTTGGAAGTCAGAACTCTTGGAAAGAACTTAAGTTAATGAACACTTTGTGCTAAATGACCCTTTCTCTCCTCACACCCTCCCCCGAAAAAAAAAAAAAGCCTGGTTAGTGGTGCAATTCAGTGGATGTTTTAGGGTTTAAGTCAACTTTAATTTCAGCTTTCCAGATCCCCTTTTAAGATTGGAATGTCAATTAGATAATTATTATTTAAAGCGGTAGGATGATTTCCAAAATTCAACCTCCCCCCTTTAGAAATGACACATTTTGTTCTAAAATATCTTCCTTGCATTGTAAAAACATAAAAAAAAAAAAAAAAAAAAAGTTACAGCAGTGCCGGCCCCTTT